ATTAGCAAAATTAAAATTACAATAAAAATACTGAAACAAACAGAAAAATACCAAATTTTACTTCATTAATTGTTAACGGTGGAACACTCCCCTGGGTCAAATCAAAAGCCACCCATTATATGTTTAGCAGTCACCATCGACCCTACATTTAACTGGGAATCACATGTATACAAACTCTCCCTCACGTTAAAATTCAAATTTTATCCACTGTTAAACATCACTGGTCCCATTAGAAAAAATATCTCTGGTACATCTTGACAATTTTACTTGGCAACATTTTCCAAAGAACATTTCCGAATCCTTTAATGAATTTAAATAATAAAATATATCTGTAACAATAGAAAAGTTTACCATGGTATTACATTTACCATATCAACACGAGGCGCCTTATACTGTTTCCTCAAAGAGAAAGACTAATTATTTTTAATGTAATAGTTTTCATAGAATGTTAATTGTGTAATAAATTATAAAGCACTTTGATACTGATCGTAATAACTGATGGTAAAAAAATAATAAAATAAAGTAATAGACATCAAATAAGCAAGTATCTTAGTAATAATTAAAAACTCAATTAAAATTAAGAAAACAATACTACCATTATTTAATTATTACCATTGTTACCATTATTCGACCCAAAAGGTATTGATATGCGATAATATTAGAATTAACTGAAAAAATATAAAAAAATTATGTTTTGGAAGGAGTTCACAATATATGATAATAAAAATATGAACAAATGTTTATTAGTACACTGAATAAAAATTTCAAATATAAATTATGGAAGAAGGAAATAATCGTCTACCAAAAATATAATAATTTTATTAATTAATACCCAGAGTTACTTTCGGAAAAACATTTTTCGCATCCACAGTGGGTCTCTTGCAAGGAAATGAAAATTGAAAATTTAACATAAATGGAGTAAAAAGAAATACAGTGAGTTTATGCGAAAAAAAATAACAAATATTATGAAATAAATATTAAATAAATAAAATTAAAAATACTGCCAAAGCAACGTGTTGACGAGAGAGATTAAATCGAAGATTGTATATTATTATGTTGAAGAACATTGTTGTATGTTATATTTTCGAACCGTTTATATAGGACTTCACCAAAAATAGGGATTGTGTGCTGTGTTATAGCGGAACTATAGCCTAACTTCACTTTCTCGTTCCAATACCACGCGAAGTTGTTGTCACCTGATCAGGGTTTAAAACGGGAAGGCGCTCGAAAGTTTGCTGTTGTTCCAAGTAGCTGAGAGAGATAATGCAAATAATCCAAGACCATTCATATTAATTATGTTCAGACAGTAAAAATGTTCAGTGGAGATTAAGTAATTTGCCCATTTTTACCTACGTTAATGTTGGGTTGACTTTCGAACAAAGAAAGAAAACCAAATTGCTGAATGTGCTTTACATTTTAGAAGATAAGGTTAAATTTAAAACAAATACTTAATTTGGTTTTGTAGACTTTTATCAGTGTGATTCGAATTGAAAGACAACACAATTGAATGGTTATTGCAGTGTAATAAATGTCTAAGGTGTGGCAAACACAAGATAATTTGCTAGAAAATTTACACCATGATGTGTTGAAATGTTATAGTATGCGTCATTACACTCAGTGCCAAAATGAAAAAAATCATTATTTCCAAGAATGTATGATTGAATACGTAATCACACCACCAAATTATTAGAGGTTGCTCGTTTTATATAAAAACCATTGTATTCTTATCGGAGGGCTAATGATATTTTGCTAATCATCCAGATAACAAATGACTGTACAGTTTACTAATGAAAAGGTAAGACAACACCTTCACAATTCTTTTTGTTAACTTATCCTCACCTCCCTAAGAGAAATTCATCTAATTTCCAATATTA